ATTTAGCTCAGTGGCAAAAGCGCCTGCCTGGCAAGCGCAAGGTCGTGAGTTCGGTTCCCGGTACCGGAGAAAAAACAAAAAAAAGAAAAAAAAAAAAAAAAAAAAAAAACAAAAGTGGTAACTCTCATTTTGCTGAGTTATATTCATAGATGTGTTGAATATATATTTATCAATTTCTGGTTTGATTTTCATTATATCATGATCATTTTATTCCAAAAGTTAAGTACTTTCTTCTTCCTGTCCTAATCATTTTTCTGGGTGATTTTGTATCTGCATAAAACCATTTGCTATTCTAATCTGGAAGTGACTGTTCAATATGAATTATGTCTCAGGTTGGATATGGCACCTTGCAATCTGAAATATTTATATCCCAATCTGAACATATGGAAAAATTGCCCCAGGTGTATTTAATAAACAGAACAGGGTAGGAACTAAGCACCCTCAAAACATTGGAAAATCCCATCCACGAAGATGTTCAAGAACTTAGAGATGAACAGCTCTGTGATATGAACATGGAAATCATTATTCTACTGTTACCTAATTTTGCTTTCATGACTTTCGTGAGCTTCCTAAAAGGCATCTAGAAGGAAGTGGTTAGCAGACGTTAAGTGGAAAACGTCAAGATTTTATTATAATAGTCAATGAAAAAAAACTGTATTCAGTTTTCTACTCTAGCATTTGTGACCAGCTTTAGTCATTTCTTAAATTAAGATATATTTTTCACAGGGAGCCACAGATTTCTACATAAATATACTGGCTCAAAAGGAAATAAAGTTATATAAGAATAGCGTAAATATCATTGATAATGTAATTTGAATGAGAAAATACTAGTTACCATTTATATTGTAAAATAACTGAAAATTTAGCTTAAAATTAGCTTTATCAATTTAACAAATTACCTGGTTTATGAATTCAGCCTTATGTTTTACTCTTCTTGTTAACAAGTTTGTTTTAGGATGTGCTTCCCACCCCCATATTTTTAAGAGTATTTTTCAAAATTTAAGTATACCTACCCCATCATTAATATTAGTGAATTGAATTAAACTTATGTTTAGAAATAATTTATTCTTATTTGTTTTTCTAAAGAATCTTCAATTTTCTGTTTTTAATAATGTGGGGTATTAAATGTGAGAAAAATTAGGATCACTAAAATACTTCTCCATTTTCCTAGCAGAAATAAATTCAGCTTATAGAAATTGTCCTTTAATCTTCTTTTAAACCTCCAAAATTAAAATGAAATGTCAGGACAAAAAAGAGAAAACTGGAACCTACAGCAAATAGATTATACAGAAAAAGGTAGAGGTCACCTTGAAGCGATGAGAGACAGTATTAGGAGCATTAAAAATAAGAGCAGAGTACTACAAAAAGTAACACAAGGGTAAGAAGTCTAAGAATCTTAGAATATGATTGACGTAGTGATGAAAGAAAATTAGAAATGTGGAAAACACAGTTAAGAAAACCACAAAGAAAGTAAAAGGAAAAAAGACTGGGACAGTAGAAAAGATATTTAGAAAAATTATATAAATTAGTTCAAGAGGGATAATACGTGATTAATGAGAGATGTGAGAGGAGAAGGCAACGAGTGGCCAGACTAGATGGCCTCCGCCAAACAAGTGCCAGTTCCACAAATGTCATCCCAAGAGTTTTCTTCGCCCTCTTTCTGTGTTCAGCCCCAAGCTGCTCAGGTCCTGTGCCTTCCTCGTCCTTGTTTCTCCTGTTTCTGTTTTGGGAGCACATTAAAAATAAGAAGGTAAAAGTCTTTGGTTTCTGAAGATAGATTTCTTCCATTTCCTCCATGTTTTCCATTTGCTCCACATCTATTTGACATCCATTTTCTGAAGTGTTCCCTCCCCCCTCCCAATCCTAGCATTGCCTTCTTCTGGCCCAGGAACTTGTAGGAACTTTTCTCTTTAGTCCAAGTGAGTTTTTGATGATATATGCCAGGGTTGTCTTGCTTTATTCAATTCTAGTTACTTGTGGGGAGGGTCTTTTATCTAGATACTCTTGTTTTTAAGATCTCCCACAGTGAAGGAAGAAAGAGATACCATTGAGAAAATCTTTAGGAAGCAAAGAGAACGAAAAGATTATCTGATAAATAGTTGAGCATTTAGGGGGAAAATAGCTACAAGAAGACTCAATGGACGATCTAATAGAGCTATTAGAAACAAGATAGCCACCCAGCAAAAGCAAATACCTTTTTTTAAGTGTGGCATTTAATAAACTGTATATCTATTAAGTTTGTATGAGCCATGTTTACTTACATAGTCATAAAAATATAAACACTCAATATTGACATAACTAAAAGTTGAGATGCAGCTAGCTATATTGGGAGGATAGGAAAGGAAAAGTGGGTGGATATGAAGAATGTCTAAAAATGATAAATCAGAAAATAGCAGTATAGTTATATATTTTTTTTTTTCACAGAAATGAAGCAAGTACAGAAAATAAACCTAAAAGAGTAGACTGTTGATTGTGGTTGACTCTGGGAAGTAGGACTGTAGGATTAGCAGGGCTGAGGTAAGAGTCCTCTCTTTTGCATAAGTCTTTGGACTGGTGTGTGTATGCACACGTTAGCTAACGATGAGTTTTCTAAAGTAAATGCTACTAAGAAAACCAAGTTTTTATGTCTCCCAACATTCTTGCAAGCGTCCGACATGCTTGTTAACTTGCAAATGGAGTATGAAAGCTGGGCTTTGGAGTTCCTAGCTGCTTGGACCTGCCTAGGCCTTGGGGAGTAGATAGCCACAGATTTTAGGCAGGCGTGTATTCTGGGTCTACAGAACAGGCGCTTTGTTACTCAGGGTGGAATTTGTACTGGATGAGGCCCTTTTGTCTACACTCTAGACACTGAGGCATTCATTCTGCTGACTTAGGTACCCTGTCAACCTGTGACCAAACTAAAGTGTAGAATCACTGACCATGGAAAAAACAAAGGAAATGGGAAAATACTGCATAATTTGTGGTCTCCGAAATGATCCAGCATTAATGAAAGTTTGTTTTAAAAAGTAATTTATGTCAGCTTTGTGTAGTTCGGGTCAATTCGTGAAAAGGTAGATTCCCTCTGCCAGGATGAAGGGAAGAAATGTATAAATTGTGAGTTTATATTACCATTGGAAATAGGAACACAGAAATCCATTATTTAAAGCCATGATCACTACCAAATTTATCCTGGCTGGCTAAAAGTTATGGCCATGAGTCAGGACGCCCTTTTAGAAGACCTGAATTCCATTACATTCAGCCTGTAGACAGTGGCGGCTTAGTGAAAGAGACTCATAATGTCAGCTTTTGAAACTGTCATTTTTACTTTTTATAAGTAGCGACTGACCACTAGTATCCATGTATAGCTCCTTTTAGACTAAAGGAGCACAACCCCAGGACAGGGCCTTCACTCTTGGTGCTGGAACCAGTCTAGACGTAAGGGAGGTCTGTAGCAATCTGAGGACCTCTAGAAATCTCCAATTCTTTGAGACTGAAATGCTTCATCTCTGTGGAATTAGTGTCTCTAAACATGTAGGTAGAAACATTTCTGTACATCTGAAACTGCTCTAAAAGGTGACAGTTATTAAAGTGAATAAGTAAACCCCCGAAGAAAGACCTGTGATGTTTCATGGGGCAAAAACGTTACCTAAGAATCATTATAGGAGTTAGAAGTGAATCATACAATTTACTTTAACTTCATATTCTTAGAAAAGCAAATCAGTGAAAGTTGCTTTTAAAAATTAACTTCTTTCCTCCGTTTATATCACCATGAAAAGAAAAGTTAGTATTTTCACTTTGAGATGTCATTCGTGGGTATTTAGAGCCCTTGCATGAAAAATAATTTATCTACAGCAAGAACAGCATACTGTACTCACTTATAGTTTTCGGTCCACCTGGCTGTGAACAGACAACACTTCTTAACGAAGCTGTCCTCACACTTGTAGGATAAAATGCCAACACTTTATAGCAATCAATATATCAGAGGTACTGATAAATTGTTTCTTGTCCATTAATGAGTTGTTTATTCAGTGAAAGCTCACTCTGTCTGTCTGTCTCTCTGTTTTGTTTGTCTCTGTCTCTCTCTCTCTCTCTGTCTCTGTCTCTTTCTCTGTCTCTCTCTCTCTCTCTCTCTCTCTCTCAGCTCATTTTATATAACTACATTTCAGGTATTTTTGAATGACCAATTAAAACATGATATTTTTAAACAATTGTGTTCTGATTGTGATTGCAAGGTACTCTGTAGATACTCTGGCATACAGCTAGATAATTTGCATTTGACTTTTAAACCCCTAAGTATGTTCATTTATTAAATCAGTGTTTACTCAGAGAGCATTCCCAAAGCTCTGTGTTGCTTCTGGAGGAAAAAGTAGAGGTTGAGACAGACAAGGCCACCTCATCTCATGAAGAAAAAGGTAGTGAGTGAGCAAGTCAGTAATTCAGAGCAGGGATTGGTGCTATAGAGGTGAAATGATGGACGGTATCTGAAGCAGAACCACTATACATGGGTGATGGGGGTGGCACAGAGGAGGCTGCCATTGAGGTGCAAGCAGTTGAGCTAAAATTGTATGGGAAGAGTCACCCTGATGCCAGGAGCAGGAATCTCAAAATCCCACAAACAAGGGTCCCAGTCTGCTGGAGAGATGGAACACCAGTGAGAGTGAGGCTACAGCCACAGCCAGATGTGTGGATTCCATTCCGAGTTCTCTGGACGGTGTGAAGGGTCGGAAGAGTGACGTGATCTGGTTGACTTTCTAGAAGATCAAAGTGACAGTAAGAAAGAGATGCAAACAGAAGAGTGGAAATGCCTTGGGCCACGCACGGCCATGGTGATGATAATAGAGATGGTGTGAAGCAAAAGACCTTGGGAGAAGGTGGAAGGTGGAAGCCTCAGAACTCACTCTTAGTCAGAGGGAGCAGACAGGACCAAAGAAGGAAAGGACCAAAGTTGGAGGACCTTAGCTAGGTATGGTTTGGTGGCCCATGCCTATAATTGCAGCACTCTGGGATGCTGAGGCAGGAAAAGCAAACATTTGCCCCCAGTCTGGACAGTTTAGTGATTTAGCAAGATGCTATCTCAAAAAGCAAAAAACAAACAAACAAACAAACAAAACAAAGCAAAGCAAAAAGAACCAGAAGCCAGGTATAGTAGTACACGCCCGTAATCCCACCACTTGGGAACCTGAGGCAGGAGGATCACCAGTAGTTTGATAACAGACTGGGCTACATAGTGGGTTTAAGGCCAGCCTGAACTACTTAGTGAGACCCTGTCTCAGAAAAAGGAGAAATGGAAAAATTTAAAAATTAAGAAAACAACAGTGAGAAACACCATTGGAGATATTGTTCCATGAAACCCCAGTTCAATCACCAGTATCATAAAGAAAAGAAAAAAGTTTGAGAACCTTCTGGATGGGTATATCATTTTCTAAAATGGAGACTAGTAAGGGATTAGCAAGCATCAAAGAGTAGAAATCAGAAGAGAATATTTCAGACCAACAGTGGGAGACAGGCATTGCAGCTCAGGAGGGAAGTAAAAGGCAATAGAGAAACAGTAAACCTAGCTTCCAGGTCCGCCCTTAGCAGACAAGTGGGTACAAAACAAGAGTTCCATATAAGGAGGCCTTTTAATCATTTTTCCTTTTAGAATTCTGTGTTGATATCATTGTGTTCTGACAAATACACATTTTCTACTCTCAAATACTCTCAAAAGAAAAAGGAAAGTTTTTATAATCATGTGACTATGTTTTTGAAAATATAAGTGATCACGTTACAGGTCTGTTAGTCCATATAAAGTTTAATGGCAGAAAGCTTGATCGAATGCCATGATTAATCAACTACCTTCTACAAAGTTAAGTTTTAGCCCAGGTTTTATATTCATGTTGGTTTATTTTTCTCTTTTCTCTAGCCTTGTCAGCATTCACCAAAAGGACCATTACTCCAGATCCAGCTTCAATCAAGGAAGATGCCACAAGTTTACCAATGAATGGAGCAAGTTCACAATCCAAGAAGGTGGAAAATGAGAACAAAAAACCAAAATGTAATTAGTTGCTTTACCTGAGTGTTTTACAAATCACAGCCTATCTACCCTTGCTGCCATCTGGCCCGGGTTATCTAACAGGCATACCTATGGCTTTGGCTCTTAGGTGTTGCTGAACATTGACTACAGTGACAATACAGTTAGTCGTTGTGAATGACACAAATTTAACCAATCCAGATAATATCAATTCATGAACAATATGCAGCTAATTTATTGGCAACTTGTACCAGCAAGAAAGTGATATTTTTTCACTTTGCATTTTGTTTTTGCAAGTGTGGTCAGTAACGATTTCCTCACCAAAATTTGGTTTTATAATTGATGCCTTTCAAACATTACTGACTAAAAAGGTGGAAAATGAATTTTCCTCTAGGCAAAAGTTGCCAGCACTTTAGATTCAGGGAGCATTTATATACAATTAATTTTTTTAAAAGATGCTTTCTCCCTAATAAATTATCATGTGTTATAACATGTCATGGAGATATGCATATATATTAGGCAGTCCACTTTATAAATGCTTGGAATTGTTATATCCATCATCTCAGCAATCTATTCCTACATCTAATACCTTAAGATTATTTCAAATCATCCATTTTTAATAGCACTAAAGAATTTATCAACGCTATCTGAATTGTAGAGCACTGTAAAGAATTCATAGCACAGTTTATTTATTCGTCTTTTTGTGGTCAAATATCTCACTGTGATGACTCCAGTCATCCAGGACTATCTATTATTTAGAAGGACCAAAAATCACGGCACCAAATCCTTGTGTCTCTGAGATTCACCCTGCAAGAGTTCTCCTGTGCTTTGGTACTATCTACCTACTTTTCATATCCCGGCTTACTCAACATCAGTGTTTGTAAGAATTTTCCCCTTTACATGCCAGTCTCCTGGTGGAGCAATATTTTCATTGAATGCTAATAACAGTCAATATCTGGGAACAGAATCGTACTGGGTCATGGTCAAAAGATTCTGCATGGAGACAAGGAAAATAAAGCAATAATGTGTATGACATTCTCTGTTAAAATATAACTGTGTATTAGATTTCATACCTTTTGTAAAGATCTCCTGTTTGTGCTCAAAGTGTGTGTTCCTAACTTACCATACTTGAAGGTGCAGAAGAAGTGAGCGCTCCCTTTCTGCAGTGAATGTGAACACAGTTCTTACTACAGAACATGGAAATGTTTCATATCAAAAAATTAAATGACACAGACTATATAACCCTTGAGTGTGCAGCATGCATTTTATGATATATTAATCACAAAACCGCTTATTGAATTCCCACTCTGTGTGGTAGTCACTGTGGTAGGAGGAAAAAAGCTACAAAAATGTGTGAATGTCTCAAAGTGTGTTTGACACAACAAGTTACATTGAAAAAATGGGGCGATGTGTTTCGGCTGGCTGAGAAAAGTCTGTGTTATGCTACATTAAACAGGTTTTGCCTTGTTTTATTGAATTTCAGAACTTCTTACTGTATTAGTGAATATTTTGAGATTTCCATGGAGTAGCCTTTTGAAGAAGCAGCCCAGTCCTGCTATCCTCTTTAACCTCTATTCATTTAGGCTAATATTTGGGGTATTAAGAAATTTTTCTAATGTTTCTCCTGATGTTTTGACTGACACCATAATATTTTATCTTCTTGAGCTTAAATAACAGGGAAGAAAGTAAAACATAAAGTTAACAGTTTTTAAAATCCTAATGTAAAAGTTAAACAACTTTTCCCTTTATATATTAGTCAGGACTGTATGCCCCTCATCCTGTTTCAAAAGGACTTGACCAGAACCACCATGAGTCATTAAAAAAAAAATGCATCAGAAGTTTAGGTGTGCAAGTTTAGGGAACTCAGATTATTTACTCAGAAAAATCCTTGAAAATGTTATCATTTTATAATAAAATAGAAGAGAATCTTACAAAAGATCTTTAAAAAACAAAGCCATTATATCATCTTATTGAATGCCTTATGCTACTGTTGGATTAATGAAGGTGTCTAACTTTAAATATGGATCACACAAGAACTTCAAAAGCAAAGTCAACTTTTGGTGAGCAATGATTTTGTCAAAATTCTTTGGCTCTGTGTTTATATGGAATTAAATCCAAGGACCTGTCTCCTCTGAGGATTTTTTTCCTATCTCTTGCAGTTACCATAAACTTGAGTTGGAAATCAAAAGGAATGCTAAGGAAACACTAATACCTTGGTTTCTACATTTCAAAGCGAGCAACTGTTTTTCTTTTACTCAGTCCTTTGGCAGGATGTCCTCAGTTACATGTGATATCGGCTCCATTTGAGTTGTAGCTGGGCAGCCATATTGCTTGTAGCACTGAGACATTGGAAAGCAGAGACCTTATTCTGCAGTGGGTCTGATCCAAGATTTAATTTGAAGATTGACCTTTTTGGTTTAGTAATTTTGATTCTTCTGGCTGTCTTTCTCCTTAAACACACTAAACTTCCATTGAAGTTGTTGAAGGCCACAGACGGGAGAAACACAGCTGGGAGAAATCTGACTTGATGTTTTTCCCATTGGCTAAGGTCATATTATTTCCTTGACTAGTGTCTGACTTGAAGGTTGAAAACCAATTAGTTATATAACATTTTATGTACCCAGTTTCCCAGAACCACAAACTTTCCTTTTTGTTGTAGTTTACATATTTTCATCAGTAAAGACAGGAAATCTGTGTCTTAATAAAATCATATGCATATAGCATTTAGATTTAAAGATTACATGTATTAAAAAAAACCTCTCTACCTAAGTAAACAATTCAGCCTGTGTTTCTTCATTTTTTATGCATATTTTTCATTTTGTATCAGTTCAGCGGTGTGCAGAATATATTTAGAATTCTAGTGAAGGTTACATTTCCGATAATCTGTCTCGGATTTTATAGTTCAATAGCAAATAGTATTTTAAATGAGACAAAATTCTTACATATAATGAATGGCATATTTTCTCACCAAATCCTTTTTTTATGAGGGGATAAATACATCAAATTGTTTTGCTCAGGATTTGTGCTCGTTATAATTTGCACATCATATGGTAGCCAAGAATGTGAATTATCATTAATGATTCCTTTTCAAAAATTCTTACTCCCCTTCCCCAAACTGTCCCAGTGTTTTCTCTCAGTTTTAAACAAAACAAAGCAAAATAAAATTTGTAATTTTCACGGGCTTCAATTGAGGAAACTGTTCTCATGAAAGCATCTGGTTTTCTTAGATCAAAACTAAACCATGAACTTTAACTGGAAAGCAAACTGGAGAGTTTCTATAAAAGGGATTTCATGCATCCAACTGTAATGTAAAAATAGTTACTTCTTTCAACTTTTAGGTTCTCAAATGTTTAGCAATAGTAACGTATCAACTTATCCCTGTTTGAGAAAAGAAATCTAAACCGTGAAGGATTCCAGTTAGTTTCATTTCCGTACAGAACACATCCAATTTGTGTAAAGGCTAGGAAAAATGCCTACACCCAGGAGCAGAACCTTAGATTCTAGGCCCCCATTTATATTTCAAAGAAGTCACCCTGGCTTTTGATTAGTAACGAAGTAAACCAATCTACTTTTCTCTAGTGAAACCAGCCCCACCTTCACACACTGATCTTAGCTTCTCCTGCTTTACCTACACCTACACCCACATCCTGCCTAAATCCAAGCCTGAAGCAAGTCATTCTTTGTACTCTACCAAATCAACCCTGACCACTGACTTCTGAAATTGGTAACTATATCACTCACACTGGAAAGGCCATCTGGGTTTCTTAGCACCTGCATTTCTTTCCAAAACTAGCTGATTAGAGAAAGCATTTTATGCCATACCTCTGTGGTTACTCATGGTTGACACCCAAGGAATATTTCTGTGGCTTGGTATCTTTTTCCCCTAACACAGCTTGGCTCTGACTTAGTTCAAAACTGTGTGACAATTGTGGATGTGAACGTGCCCTCCTTTTTCCTTACAGTAACATACTGGACTTCTCCTCAGAGCAACGTGTTAGTTCCCTTTCAGGATGATAGTGAAAATGACATATAATCTGATGCCCACCACATTTCATCATGTACAACTTCATATATGTGAAATGGCTCATAAAAAAATAAATCCTTCTCTGGTCAAAAGAGAGCATACAACATGTATCACCTGTGCTTGCAACAGAAACTTGCTGTGTTTTCAGAAGTTAAAGCTGAGCAATTGCCGTTTTCTAGAATGGATGTCCTGTTTTTCTCAAACTGCCAGATGCTAGACTGTCACACTGTCTGTTTCCTGTCATCTTTACATAGATCTCCGTGACTTGACACACTTTCATTTTTTATTCTTTCAGTAAAACATTTTGACTGATGTTATTTAAATAAAAATGCAGGTCACAATTTATCCTTAGATATTAGAGCTATGTATATCATCTCAGCTGTATATTTCATTCGAAATACAGTAAAACACCAGAATGGTAACTTAAAATGGTTTTTGTTTCTAAAACAAGTACTAAAATAGCAACAATTTACATGCTACAATTTAAAAATACTATAATATTCTGAAGGAAAGAGGGCTGATGTGTGTTCTTTAGTTAATTACAAGTTGACTCTTTTAAATTCTGATTTAGCATTTTATTAAAATCAGACTTGCTTCAGGAAAAGTTATCAGGTTTTCCATTAAATTAGGTTCCTTTTGTTTTTGTCTTTCTTGAAAGTTTTTCAGTTAAGACTCAGGTATACTTGTGAGTCATTGGAAGCCACTGAGGGGGTCAAAATGGCCTTTAAAAGCCCAAGCTACTTGGCCAGCAATGTAAAAATTTACAACTTCGAGATAGCGCATCTGTTTCTCCTTGAAATACTATATTTCTATTGGAAAGTTTTCCTTCCTTCCAATGTCTCTTTTGATTTCCTTCCCTAATAACCAGTCATTACTCAGAGATCTTTGGAAGCAGCTATACAGCCTTTATTTCGGCCAGCCTGGGAACTAGAGTCATGATCCCTTATCCTGCGCTTGTTCCTCAAGACAGCCATATAATGACAACCATAAAGAGCTAGTGAGGTTAATACATGAAACCCTTAAGTTATTTTTCTCAAGATATGAGTTGCTCTGTTAACCTTGTATGAACAACTTCTCTTGGTAAAACAAGATCCTTATTCTTCATCCTTATATGATGATGATACCCAGCTATTTTTAATGTAGTATTTGCATACACTTCATATATCAGAGAACCGATTTGTATTTACGTTAGAGCCAAAAAAACAATTCCTAATGTGTAAACAATTGCACATAGAATTTAAAATCTAATTTTTAATAGTTCCCCTTTACAAGCTTTTTACCTCCTTTGAAGCCAGTTATTATCAGATCATACTTCATAATTCCTACTCACTGTTGTCCCTAGGGTAGCAGTAATGCTAGTTTAGATTTTGTTTGTCCATTGTTGATGAGCACTTAGGAGGATACGGGAATGAAGGATGGCAGGAGTTCTGTAAAATGATATGAACACAGAGAAAGCTGGGTTGCCTTCAACAAATACACAGTTTAAGCTTTTTACTGGAAAGAAAAGACTGCAGTAGCACTCGATCCTTTAACTGAGGCCGGGTCTTGGAAAGTAGCATTGTGAGAGGTCCTGTTGAACTTGATGTACGCTATAAAGTTGAACTTCCAATGAAAGTGGCACTGATCTTAATGTTCTTTCTAGACTGCTTGCCTGCTGTTTGGATCGGGATACAAAGTGGCCATCTTTCAAATAACTTCGTCTGGGTGCCCTGTGCTTGTCTGTCATTTTGGATTTTCATTTTATTTATGCTATCATTAATCCCATTTTGAGTAAAGATACAGGCCTGATTTATGACTTAGCATTTTACAGTCTTCTTACCATAATGAACTTCAAGCTCTCAGTTAACAGAGGTAAAGAAGCCATGATATTTAAAAAAAAAAAAAAGCCACCTTACAAGGTGGCTTTGGGAGAGTGGGTGTTATAAGAGGTCTGAAGAAATCTAGGGATTTTGCTTTTTTTTTACTCCTTGGACCAAGTAAAATAGATGCATCAGTTCTAACAAGGCACTTCCTGCCCGGAGTCACTGGCAGAGCAGTCTCCTCCCA